AATCCTCTGAGAACTTCCTTTGCACGAGTCTGACCAAGTTTACTGGCCAGCCATCGGAGAACAACAGTTTTACAATCATTTATTCTAGTTGAGTGTTGAGGTAGAACATTGGGCCCGCCCATGCTCAAGGGATCAGAAGCTTTAAGTGCAATTCTTGTAGCAGCATCTGATATGGCATTCTGACAAACTTGCTCACAACATTCTTTCACAGGATCAATCTTTTCACAGGCAGAAAGGAGTTTAGAGGAATCCACAGCGCTCTCAAACTCATCGACACCTTTGACAGGACAAGATGCTTCAGTGAGGTTCGACGGATGAATAGAACATATCTGCTTAAGATTGTCAGAAGCACCCTGGGCCACCAAAAGTTGCTCAATATCAGAGAGGCAATGCTCAGCAAGGGTCTTGTTTAAAGCAAGCACATCAGTTTCTTTACTGGACTGACCAATAAGAATCACAAGAGTGGCATCTAGCTGTGGACAACACATTACATTAGCCAACAATGGGGCCAAAAACGCCCAGCAATCAGTTGAAGTCATGGTCATCAAGCTTTCGGCTGCACTGAAGTTTAACGTACAGTGTCCTGCAAGAAGAAACGGCATCAAGAGCAAAATGTTAGTATAAATTTCAACCTGTGGCTTTGAGAACCAGCAGTATTAGGCCCTGTAAGACAAACCTGATAGTTTTGGGACAGTACTATTTGTGAAGGGTTCCAATGGCGAGGGGGCAAGAAGAGGAAGATAGGGCTGAGGAGATGCAGCAGGAGAAATCTCGGGCAAAAGGGCATCTCCTTGTTTGTTTATCAATACAGGATCTTTAAGATTATATAGTTGACTGCAACAAGATTCATGGAAACCTGCAACAACATAAGGATTCCTAAGATAATTGCAATATCCAGTTGTAAAAGCACCTTACAAGTAGAATTCCAGTTTTGGAGCTAAAGTTAACAACAGGGAAATGGCAATGCTCATAATCAAAGGTTGACCCATGATATTTCAAGTCCTAAATCAATAAATTGAAGGGAAAAAAGTGAAAGTTCGTATGCTTGGAAAATTCAAATGCTTGCGTTGATAGAAGCTACTGGCTTGGTGTCTATGGGCAACTACCAGATGCTAACGGTTAATATCAGATCAAGTGATTTAAGCAAGCAGTGTATGACTCTCATGGTGAACGACTACTGTAAATTAGGATTTCAGAAACCATCATAAAGAAATATTCTTATAACAATATATATTTTTTGTAAATTTAGATACGGTAAAACTATTTTAGTACCAAATCTAAGATCCACTATATTCCATTAAAAATCAATGTCAAATGGCTCCTCTAACTGAAAGAAAAAACAAATAGCATTATTAGACATTTCAAGTGATTATCGATTTGGGGTTTGCTTAGACACAAATAAACATATTTCCCTACTCAATAAGTATTTGATAAGTAATAATTCTTTACATATGTGCTTATGCTATAAATTTGAGTTATGCTCACATATTCACAGGTTTTGTAGGGATGCAAAGAAGAGTGGTAAACATAAGGGAAGCATGGAAGTAGAGTCATGTTCTAGGACTTGGGACACTAGTGTCCAGTGAAAAAGATGTTGCTTAGACGCCAGGGTTTAAATGTGAAACTTAGTGTTTCTACTCTTATACATCGGTACTTGTGAATTTTTCTCTCATTCATGACGTTTGAGAATGGTATTTTTTTTTTTTGGTTAACCCCAAGGGGTTGGCCTGGTGGTCAAGAAGATTTGCTCTTCTTGAGTTCCTGGGTTCAAACTTTGGGACCACTTATCACAATAATATTATGGCTTACCTGGTCTTTTGGACTTATAGGGTGTTCAATGAACCTCAAAAATTGGTTGAGGTGCACGCAAACTGACCCGGCCTTTTTTTTTTTTTTTTTTTGCCAAAGCAATAACATAGTGTGAATTCTACCATGTAGAGATTGCAAAGAGTCTATGCATTACATATTTGCCTAGCCTTATCTCAACAATAACAATAGTACTGAACACTGCCTCTGATGCCACATAGAACCATATGTTTTTCGTTTTTCTACTTTTGCTTTAACTTGTATACAGAAACCAAAAACCCCTTTCCCATCTAAAGAAGTTTGTTATTGAACTACCAATCACTAATAGATACCCCAATTAATATCAAGATCTTCATTCTCTCATCCATTTTTCCCATTAGTGCAATTCAAAAACTATAAGCGTGACTCAGCAGCTATTTAGGTAGAGCAATAAAAGTAGTAATAATGGCAATCTTTGGTCACAAATAAAGCCACATTTTGGATCTCAACTACTACAATATTTAAATGTTAAAAAAAAAAAAAAAAATGCAGCTTGCAGCATGAGGTATATAAATGTAATGCCAAGCAACTGATACATATATACAGTTGAAAAGCTTGAAGAGGTAGTTTACATTGAATAATCTCACATATTCAGCCACCTTAACTTCTTTTATTTCTTCTTTTATGGATACAAGAGTGGAATCCGATCAAGCACAACATTAAACAAAGCTAATTCACAGCTTAACTAAGATACCTAGCCCTAAATCCTAACAATAAAAGTAAATTATTAGTGTCAGTAATGCAGAATAATTGAGTCGAACAAGCTTAACACAAGGCACCACACCGCACTACAGTAAACAATAACTTAAAATCAGTAACTCTCCAGGCAAAAACATCAAGAAGCTTTACCCAACATACACCAATTCTCAAACACAAGAAAACCCCATTTTTTTGAAACACTAAATTCAACACAAAACCAAAGACAAATTCACAGTAAAACCAACAGATCACAACACAATAAACAAAACCCAGAAAGGGAAACAAGAAATAAGAGCTGAATACTTACATAAAAGCAACAGAAACACAAGTAGAAGAACCATGTTGTGACTGAGCTTCAGAGACACCCCTTCACTCATGCCTCCCCAAGTTCACTTTTTTATTGAACTTCCAAAACAAAAACAGTACCCAAACACAAAATGAAACAAAAAAAGGGGAAAGAAACAGTTAAAAGAAACGTTAACAAGCTCCTATCTTGAAATTGAGAGAAGGGACAGTGTAGTGGGTTAGAGATAAAAGCATAAAAGACATGATTATGAACAGAGAGAGAGAGTGTAGTAGAGAAGCCATGAATGAGCTCAAAGTGAGTGGGACCCAAAAGCAGCACCAGAAATAGCTGTGAGTGGACCCTACTGAGGCTTAAAACTCAGATATAACCACTGCTTGCATTAACGCCATCATTCATCAATTGCCTTTCCTTTCTTTCTCTCTAATTCATTTCAATTTCCAGGAGAATCACATATAGGTCCACTAAAACCAAGAAAGTAACACTTTATGCCCTCTCAGACTCTCAGTTAAAGAGCAAAGAATTTGCTGATAGGGGTTAAAGTGTTATTTTTTTTCATTTTAGTTGGTATGGAGTTAAATATTAGGGACCCATATGTGATTATACCTTTCATCTTCATCCACTAGTCGGTTGGCCATGGTTGACAGGTGTGAGATTTGGTTTGCTTATTTATTCTTTCTTCTGGTGTTAGTTACTTGGGCATTTAAAGCTTGCTCTTTCTTTGTCTTCTGTATTAAACACAACAAAATTTTCCCTGATTTCAGACTTATTTGATCTTTGAGCAAATTTATAGCTCCCCTGATTTTTGTATAATTAAAAAGAAGGCCATATAGTTTGGGCATTATAACCAATCTCCCCATATTAATACCACTTAGTCACTTACATTCAAAGATCTCTAAACTCACTCTTCGGATCTATACTTAAAACTGCAATTTTTCATAATCAGTAATTTTTTAAAAGGGGTAAGACTACACTTATCGATTCTGCATACCGACTCCTTGTCCCGACTGATATGGAATGTAACGTGTTAGACTGAGGACTCCCTACGTCGCACTTCACATCAATCGGTATGCAAAATCAGTAAACATAGTATTTTCCTTTAAGAAGTGAGAAACAATGCCCTTCAATTATATAGGTGTTTATGAAAAAACTTAAACCTAAATCCTAAAGGAAAAATCACTATTGGGCGATCTAACAATCAATTAAGACTTTTGGGTGTATTACTCAAGAGGTCTTGAGTTTGATCAACTTGTGTTACTAATAGGGGTGACCATTGAGGGGATTTATCCGACTATCAACTTTAAGACCCTAAGAGATTAGTTAAGATGCACTCAAGCTAGTTCGGACACTAGGGACGTAGCCAGGATTCTGAGTCAGTGGGTTCAAAACATCAAAATTGATAAATTTACAATAAAATATATATTGAAGTAATAAACATAAAAAAATGTATTTTTAAAAGTTATATTTACCAAATTATCAATTCTACAATTGTCTTCGACGTTTTTTCATATTCTAAAAACATTGCATAATCTCCAAATCTCTACAATTTAGGGTTTTATTAATTCTTTAAAGCCATTCAAAACTAACTCAATAACTAGCCAAAATTATCAAACTCAACTTAAAACAACAATTAATTAACTCATACCTCAACATAAACAAGATTAAATCAAAACTCACGTTAAAATTTAGTAATTTAATCTTTCGATTTCAAACTCATTTATTAAAGTCAACAAAAATCCATAGTTCACGATCTTTCATCAATTAAAAAATCTAAAAGAAAAGAAGTTTAAGTAAAAAATAAATAAATAAATAAAATGAGCATTATCTTATTTCGTAATCTAAAGGAGTGACATTTCTTGAGTATTTAACCTAATGAAAAATATAATATGAGAGAAAATGAGAGGAAATAAAGAAGAGAGAAAAGTTAGAAAATAATTAATTAATAATTCATGAGATTAATATGAAATTAAATTGGGTTAAAATGATAATATAATCGTTTTGAAATTTTAAAAAAATTTAGTGGGTTAAATTGAACCCACAACTATCTATGTGCTACGTGCCTGTCGGACGCCCTCGGTTACAAGGAAAAAAAAAAAAAAAAAATCTATAGGAAAGAGTCTACCCCGGTTCGATATGCCGGATCCATGTCCCGTGGCCACCCCAAATAAGAGAAATTATGAATTGGCTATGGAACTTGATTGAGTACAAATACAATAAATTTACAACTCAAGAAATGTGAAACAAGAATATGGAGACGATAAGAACTTCTGTACAATAAAATCTCCAGATCATAGCCTAATGTTTTTAACTTTTAACATGTACAATACAATTGAACAACTCATTGGTTAATTAATTAATTAATCAACCTCTGGAATGCTCTGTAAGACCGGCCTCCATGACCGTTGGTGCTCTAGATGATGATGATGATCGATATTAGCATCAATCAACTTTTCCAAGACTTGTTTAAGAGACAAACCTTGCATGTCAACTCTATGCACCAACTCCTCCAGCTCCTTCTTCGAAATCTTTATCTTCACCTCCCGCGTCGATGGAGACGACGACGATAACGAACTCGAACTCGAAAACCCTCCCTTTTCACTCAGCAGCCTCCGCTTCTCTACGTTAACATCGCCGGCATTTCGCTCACCATGCTTATCATCATCAATATCATCCATTACTCTACCCCTTGAGGAGAACTCCCAATCATCGCCAGCCCACACCATGTTTGATGACTCACGCCTAATACAATTTCCCATTTGAGATTTGAAGTTTATTTTAATATTTATTTATTCTTTTGTGAGAAAGAAGAGATTTCGAAACTGATTCAATCTGTTTATATATACACAAATAGATGATGATTAGCCTTAGCCAACTTCCACGAAGATTACATATTTAAGAGTATTATATGGATTTGCTACGTAGGATTTGGTCTTACGTGGAAATATTTAAGAGTTTGGTTAGTTGACCAAAAATATTGAACGGCTAGCGGCTAGGTTTTCCCACGGGATCGAGCTGCTGATCTGATCATTCATGATGTCAACAAACTTAATCGGCTCCAATATGTAACTCTAGGTTTTGAGATTTAAACTCGTGACGTGGGACGGTGGATATGGGTGGTTCAGTGTACTCAGCGTGTGGAGTGGCTTGAAGCAATAACTTATAGAGGGGGTTGACCAGCTGGCTAGCATATGCAAAAGGAGAGAAAAGTGGAGAAGAAGAAGAGTATGAAATGGATTAAGAGGTGGCATAATCTGTAAGTGTGAACAAAGACATGGGAAGGGAATCCTTGACTTTCTTTGATTTATTCTCACCTTCCCCTTACCCCATCTTTGATAAATGACCTTAACTTATTTTCTTAACCTTTGATTCCTTTCTCACTGCTATTCACATTTCCTTTCATATATCTTCATCATCAACAGATTAATTTACATAAACAAAAAATGTGTAGATGTTTTGTTAATCAAACGCCAAATTTTCAGAAGCAATCAAGGTTCCTTCTTGTTCAATTCTTCTTAATTGATTGCTGTTAATTAATTAATTAATCAATCCACCACCTACATAAAATTATATATTCGTTATTCCATAGTTTATAATTCTTTGAAACATTTTAAATTTTAAATTATCCTGTACTCTAAGTTTCCTTTCCTTCAATGTGAAGTTGGATTGGTTTATTTCTTCATAATTCTCCTGATACAATACAAGCTGTGGTGCATGCATGTATATGTATTTTTTTTTTTTTTTTAATCATCGGAGATGTCTGGATCATTTTACGCATACCCTCAATTAATCTTCTAAAGTCCTAGAACTATCGATCGGGAGAGTCCTAATAACTATCTCTATAGTGCCTTAGGGGACTCGAACTTAAGAGCTCATAAAATTTCTTTTTGTTCTTTCAACATCAAATCACCTACTAGTAGTTCATGCATATCTATATTGGTTTAACATGAGGTAACATCAGGTAACATACGTAAACATCATGAATTTTCTTATATTTTTTCTTCAAGAATAGAATTTACGTACGTTAGAATCAACAATATTATAGCCCACTGAAATATCAGAAACATTGGGATCAAAGCACACCGAAATCGAAACTAAAACTTGAGAAGATGTCACCACAGAAATAAAAAATAAAAGAAAAAGATTATTCATGTTCGGCAGTTGGAGGTGTGAGCTTTCTAAATGTCGCTAAAAAAACAAACTAAAACTAATAGTATAGGCTACAATGAATGACGAAGGCATTTAGAAAATTTGTTGAAGGGTCTTGTCTTATCAAACAATGGTGAAGTAACATGGAAAGTGGGGAAAGAAGATTTTCGACAAGTGTATTACACTCAATTTACATTGAGTCAATTTCGTACTCGAGAGTAAGTTTGATTGAAAATAACACATGGTTTATTAATTAGTTTGAATTAATTGTATGTTAATAGTATTCAAAACTAAAAGTATCTTTGCCCATGACAGAACTATACAGTATATTGAACAGTTTTACTAGCTCAATCTTCAAACTTTATGTACTACGTTATGCCTAGAGCTAGTCAAATCGATGGAGTTGCTTATAACTCTAGAAAACTTCTTAAATTAGTCACCCGATTAATTTGTGTTTAAGATGACCAAGAAAAGATAAGCTTCAAGACTACTTTGGCCGTAGTATTATTATCCCAAAAGAAAATGAAACAAAACTGTCTTATTTATGAATACTACATGTATTCAAGAGAGGAGAGAGCCCATCCACATACATATTATATCCGAGCGTTTGAGCATATCGGATTCATATTATGTCTGAGCGTGGTGTATATCATATTTGTGCGTTTAAAAGTGTCGAATTCAGACACATGGTAGGTGAGTTCTCAAAGGTATTATCTGCTTTGAGCCTCAGAGTCTATACGATCTTGTCCTAAAAATGCACTTCTAAGTGGTGACAGTGTTTCTTGTGCTATATAAGCGATTAAGACTCTCGTCACACCAATATAATATTTTTAAACAAAAATTATCAGGAACAAGCTTGTGTAACAGGGATCGAAAATAGAAAAATACATTTATTTATAAAATAATAATTTGGCACATGATAGAAACGTTTAAGATTGAACCTTTGAGAGTGGTGGCTTGACCAATTTTTTTCCCACGTGTGTGTGTAAAAAGATCAAATCAACCCATCTTTATCTGAATTTTTTTAAAATATTGATTTATCTATAAGTGTAGATTTTCAAAGAGTTAATTAATAGTGGTGTTGGCTATCTTATTATTGTAAGATTAGCATTTAAAAAACATTTTATTCACTTAATTAAGTTTTTGCATCTTGCCTAAATTGTTAGATTGAAAGTGATATAAAGGTTTGGATATTGTTTTTAACGGTGATCAATTTTATGATAAACTTGTTAATTCAACCAATTTTCCATTGACCAAGTCAATGGTCATGGTTCAATTTAGAAATGATATGGGCCTATTTGATTTCTAGAAGTTCTTTTCGGCCCAAACTTACCATTTTCTTTATGGGCTGTTCTTCTATAGTCCAAATCTCGTATGGGCCTAACCCAGTTAGCCCATTTCAAGTAGACTCAACCCATTGTTTAACAAGAGTATTATCAATTGAGGGAAGTTCTTTTTTTCTTTTTTTTAATTTTAATTATTATTTATTTATGTATCAAAACTCAATAAGTCCCATTCAATTAGTTACATAATCTGAAATGACAAGTTTCTAATTTCTATAGCTAACCTTTACACCCAATTTAATTTAATTTAAGTTAGAGGCATTTGATTAATTGCATTATAAATGACATATTATGAATCAGCTACTTGATTGTCTAGAGAGTTGATATCCCTATATGACTATTTAAATTTTATATGGCCTAGGATTTAATACAGGGTTCTACTTCATAAACGCTGTGTCATTACATAGGTTAATAGAAATGTAAATAATTGAGAATTTCTCCTGTCGATTTACCTAGATTTTGATTTAATTTAAGGTGTTTGTACGAAGAAAAATGATGAAAATAACAGAAAAATATAATAATAGAGGCATTTTATAAGAGAAATAAGAGATTTGTTGCGAAAAATTTATTGATTAAAGAAAACCAACATGATTGATGATGTGGTTACTTATGTGAATGACATTGTGTGATGGTTAATTATGGTATTAAATTGTCGTTAGGGCAAACTTCGGATGGGTACATGTCGTTCACCCTATGATTAAATGAAATGAAAGGACTGTTTCCTTCTTTCGAACCGACCCAACAAAAGGTGTAATTTTAATGAAGGCAGTTGGTTCCAACTCAAGTCATAAAAGTTTGGATCCTTCACCTCCCCGACTTCCAACTAAATCTTCAACTTCATTGCTTATTATGATGATTTTGGATTCAGAATTAAGTGCAGCAGTACTTTTGGTGTAATGTAAATTGTATATGGTTTCACCTAAAGTTGACAGGCACCTACAAGTAGAAGCAACTTGAGTAAGTGTCATAACTGGATATGGTGGAGCAGAACCGGAACATAAACCCATCTTTATTGCTTTGTTCTTCATACCAGCTTTAGTCTTTATTCATCACTATCTTTTCGGTAATCTATTGAATGTTAAGTACAAGTAATTGGTTCGGTGAACCAAAAGGAAGAATATTGATGGAGCTCAGTCATAGGTTACCAATCGTATCCTCAAAAGAGTTTCAAATTTGTTAATAGGAGTGGATACTATAGATTTTACTCAATTGTTAATTTCGAGGCTCTGAAAAATTAGTTAAGGTATACGTAAATAGACTGAATACCTTCAAATGTTGTGAGATAATAATCCTATTTAAAACTAGCAAGCAATCTCCAAAGGAACTTTATTTTGATTATTCAAACCATATTATATTTATAGGGATCTTTGGGTCATAAAATAAAGATTAGGGATCTCCGAAATTATCAATATTCCTTACAGCACAAATACCGAAGTACATTCACTACGTAACATTACAGCACTGCAAGGTTTGCAGTGAACTTAGTTTCAGTCCACGCGGCAAAAGCTCCGCAATTCCAGCACTTTTGTCCGAACTTCACTCTGTCTCACTCTATTTGGAATGACACTTTTAGCGGAGAGACAAAAAATGAATGTCCCATTTGGCCCTCAGTCTCACTGTGCCAAATTCAGGAAACCACCAAATGGTTACCGCCGTCGGAGGCACAGGTCTCCATTGACTCCGCTCGTTCACTGGAAGTTTGACGACAAACAACGCGCCTCCAGGGGCGGCGGAGGCGTTGAGATGTCGGCCAGGAAATTGGCTGCTGGGCTCTGGCAATTGCGTTTGTTGGCTCAGGTACGTGTAGATATATGGCCTTTTTGAGTAACTGTGATGTCTGCTGTGTTTGGTTGCCGGGAAAATGGTGGGAAATTTAAAGAATTGTTTTTTCTTGGGAATGGTTTGATTACAGAACTGTGTTGGGCAATGCTAGCTTGTAGTAATTATGTGTTTGGATGCTGAGAAAATTGGGACATAAGAAGACATAAAACACCATTTTCTTGGGAGCTTGATGTTAATTTATGTTGATGGAGTTGAGGAACAGAGTTTTAACTTCTCCGAAATCATAATTCATGAATAGCGCATTACGCTTAAATTATATGTTTCTGTTCACATCTCCATTCGGGACATGGGAATAATGCAGTTTTACAGAATCTCTGCAAGTGCTTAGAGAAAACTTTCAAATTAATGGCTTGATTCAGTCGATTTACTTGTTTACATATTCTTGGAGTAGGAATTGGCATGATTTCTATTTTATGCTGTCAAAAAATTTAAACTTCAATTTTCTTTAAACATTTTCCGAATTTTAAACCCTTGTCATGTTCTTTCCTGCAGCCTC